GACAATGATAGTCATGTTTCCACTTACACTCAGTAAGTATGTGATTAACATAAAGGTGAAAATCACAACTTGTAACTGTGGGTCGTCTGTAAGTCCCAGAAGAATGAATTCTCTAATTGATGTCTTATTTGGCATGGCTAAGCTCAGAATTCTGATAGTCTGCAGATAAAAAGAAGAGTTTTTTCAGTTTATAATATGATTTCAAATATATTTATAACGCTCTTATTCTTCATTTTAAAAATTCTAGTGGATTAATTCATTTGGCAGAATACCTATAACCAGAATTGCCAGGTTAAATTATTTTTTTTAGTATGAATAAGATTGACAGGTGTTTTATTACTTGTTTGAAAAAGTTTATGTATTTATTTCTTCCATGAGAGACAAAAAGAGGGAAAGAAAGAAAGGGAAACCCAATAGGGTCTCAAATCTGTGGTTCACCTCCCAAGTCTTCAACCAGCTTTGGCTCATGGGCAAGTGAGTGCACAGGGCACTAAGAGAGGTGTATGTCCTTGATCCATAAACTTTCCTATGTGGAATTGCCCTGCAGAGTATCACGTTCTCCACGGCATCACCTCCTGGCCCCTTGCATCTTATTACTTTTAAAAACATTTTAATCTCACCCTTTGTAATTCCTTGCTACATATTTTTGATAATTTAGCTGACACACAGGGTTTTTTTTTGTGTCTTTTTCTTTCAATTATAAAAGTAGGCAATAATGATAAATGCTTAGCTTACTTCATTGTTCTTGGAAAAGTTTAAATGAGTTATCAAGATACATAGTAATTTTGAAAAATTTAATAGCCATATATATAAATGCTGTCATTGGAAAATGTAATTCAGTCTTTTCTGAAATGATCCTTGATTGTTTTTTTTGAAGAGGTTTTTGCTATAGGGTGTGTGCACTCGCCAGACAGACAGAGAGAGAGAGACAGAAACGAGAAATCCCCCCCCGCCCCCAGAGGGGATGGCCACGCCGCAATCCCTTCTCTTCCGTTCTCCTCTCGGGATCTTGGGCACGCACACACATGCGCCCGGCATGAGTTTTAAGCCACCGGGTCCGGGATGTGAACCATGTTGACTACATGGGAGTCCAGCAACATAGCCATTACGCTAACTGCTGGTCCAATGATCCTTTATTTTTACTCATAGCAAAAAATTTAACAGAAAATATGGAATGTATGGGAAGTTCTTTGAAATCCATGCTTCTTATCTTCACAGAAATTTGACCCTATTAGCTCCTCTCTGACTGACAATGACACAAACACAATGTATTTGACAAGCCATTAATAATAACACAAATCATTACTAATTAACAAGGCCATAACATAAAATTTTCAACTGGACTTCTCAAAAATAGTCAATCATATAAATAATGTAAGAAATCAGATTGTATTCCCAGTGAGATAAATAAAATATTTCAGAAAGTTATTGAATGACAATATTTATCCAACTGTGCTTTGAAAAAGAATACTCTGATAACTTTCTTGTTTTTCAAGGCAGTGATAAAGAAAAGGAATATCTTACAGAGAAAATAACAAAAATAACAGCAATATAGCAAAAAATTCAATGATATTTTTTTCCTTCCTCTTCTTCCTGTTTTAGGGGAAATAAATCTATTTTATATAGCCTTTACCCTACATCCAACAATCTTCCTGATAGAGTCCATAAAATGACATATGTTTCAGATTAAGCAATTGACATATAGGTGGAATATGTCACTTGCACAAGGTCACATAGGTGGTAAATGCAGATAGAGTAGTATCCACAATTACCTTCTGTTATACCATTTTCAATGTTTAACAGGGCTTCAGATTCAATGTTATTTGATGAAAGAGTTAATTAGTGATTGAATAATGCATACACAAAACTAATTGGTTCCGACCTCAAGATTTAGAGATTTGTGTCAGCTCTATGAGCTGTATTCAGCTCTGCATTTAGATATTGGTTTATCTGAATCAATCAGTCCTGAGCAAAAGAGACAGCCGTAACGGAGAGTGTTGACAAAACAGGAACTACAGGGAATGAAAATTTTATAATCCCAAAGAGGCAGATAGTAAACACTCTGAAGATATTTACCTGGATTGCTCAGCATGATCTATTGCTATCAGCATTAGACAAAAAGAAACCAGCCTGGTGGTTCTTGAGAGATCCATGAGGGTAGTCTGATCTGAAAACAGAATGAGAGAGTGAGGCATCAGGAGTGTGCACATGGCAACGGAATGGTGTAGGGCATCCTGTGTCTTACCTGACTGCAATCATACCACCTGAGAGTCAGCTAGGAACAGTGCCTAATAGCTTCTTGAAGTAGTACATTTCTTGGCTATGGTAATTTTTCAAATTTCAGCTAAGAACATGATGCAATAATCAACAAAATGACTACATGCGGCATTCCAGAAAGATTATTTGTTAAAGAGTTCTATGATTTGGGACTGGCAAGTGAGGTGGTGGTTAAAGGTGCTGGATTCCCACATGACCTACATCAGTTTGGGTCCTGGACTTGGCAGCTTGCTTTCTTGCTTTTCCTTTCTCTCTCTCTCTGTCTCTGTCTTGTCAAATTAAAAGATAATAATAACAAATGAAATAAACAAATAATTCTTAAAAAAAAGAGTTCTATGATTTAGAAACAGCAATGTGGATAAAGAAGAAATATACTCACATTTATGTTTATCCTTGATGGAGGCAAGTCATAGTTTAAACATATTAATAAATATTTTTCCTGTTATCTGTAATGAGAAACATAATGTTTTAGATATAAAGGTTTCCTTCATTTTTATACCTTATTATCAAACTGATTTACTTTTGTACAGGTACTTAATTATTAAAATTTAAACATATTGTCTAAATCACCCCTTGTCATAAACCTATTTCTCTACCAACACTTAATCTATTAGGATAAGAAAATTCAACCAGATCCTTCCCTTTTTTTCTGAAATTTAATTGTCATATGTTTCATTTTTCTGACATTGTTTGTTGCTTTTAGGTTTTTCAAAAGCCTTTCTCCAAAGGAAACAGAAACATTTTATGTATTTTTGGATGTAATGTTAGAGGAGTTTGTTTTTGTGGGAAACATAATAGGTACCTCCTAGGAGACAAAAACAAATGCATCTGCAACACATTTTCAGAAACACTAATTTGGTTCCCTTGGGAGTCATTAGATATTGGTGGAATATATTTTGAATTCTACCTATAGTATGAGGCTATTTCACATAAATCAAAGGGAAAACCCAATGAAATAAAGATTCCTTGCTTTTGTGGTTTTCAAATTATTCTTCTGAGTATTGTTTTAAATAAAGAGAGACTCACTCTGACTTTCTAGTAAATTTTGGGGTTTTTTTAGATTTAAAAAAAATTTCCAGATTAATTTCACATTTTACATAAAGATCCATCATGATATATCAGATTAATTTCACATTTTACATAAAGATCCATCATGATATATAGCATTTTATTTTTCAACAAAGAACTTTTTTTATCTTTTAAATGTTTCTTCCCTTTGTACTTCATACCCATGCTCTATCACCCACTCTCTACCTGCCCTCCCTCTGGTGTCTACATTTACACTCTGTACTATCATATCTTCTGTGATAGAGGGCAGACAGATGTTACACATTGTTTATCTTTTTAACAGTGTGTATCTTTCTTTCTTTTTTTTCTTTCTTTTTTTTTTTTTTTTTTTTGGAGGGATTTTTACTATAGGGTACGTGCTCTCGCCAAGAGAGAGAAAAAGACAGAAAGCGAGAAGTCATCTCTCAGGGAGGATGCCATGCAATCCCTTCGCCTCCACTCTCTTCTTGTGATTTTGGGCACACACACGAGTCTAGCGTGAGTTTTAAACCTCTGGGTACCGGACTTAATCAGCAGTCGATTATGTGGGAGTCCAGCGACATAAACATTAGGTCATCTGCTGGTTCCTATAGTGTGTGTCTTTCAAGGTTTCCCCACTTCACTTGACATTGAATCTTCTATATTTATCCACTTTGAATTAAACAATAAGGTCTTATTGTTTTAGTTTTGTTTTTATTTGCTTGTTTTTCCTTTATTTTTTTTTACATTTAATCACTGTACATCTTTATCACATACAAATTAATTTTCCCAGAATGAATTTTCTAGTAAATTTTAATGAGAAAACATAAATTATGAGATTGGAATGCAATTTGGTCCTAAAGAAACACTAATCCTAGATTTAATAGAACAAAGAAGGATGACCGTCATTTTTTGGGTAGAGCTGAGATTGGAAAAGACCATGCATTTTTAGTTGAATAATTTAGCAAAGTGTTACTGATTTCTTAAACTAAATACATTTGTGGATTTAGGAGAATAGATAAATATATGACCCAACACTGGGTATTGCTTAGTTTTATGTGAGTTCAGTCATTAGAATAACGGATTCTAGGCTTCAATGAAGTGGAGGTGCCAAATCATGTGGTCCATGTTCTAGCATGCTAATCAAAACTAAAACCTATTCATTGCTTTGATACTGGGGAGCATTTGTGGAGTCGAAGTTATAACAGCAGAAAATTATCTCCGATCATCAGACAGTGGCAAAGACCAGATAAAGCCTTACAGCTTCAGTCCTTCTGGAGAAAATATTACTCTCATATCAAAATCAACCACAGAATCCCAGACTTTTGAACAGTATCTAATGCCTTGTAATCTTTAACTAATTTTGTTTTTTGCTTTCTT